AAATATTTTCTTCCCCTTCTGTACGTTGACTGGGAAAAGGACATCCGCCCGTCTGTTCTTCCAAATGGCCAGTGACTATTACTGAAATGTTATCCGACTTTTCGTTTTCGTCCAGCTGTTCATCGGGAAAGGTGTTCGCCCGAGGAAGGCCACAATCGCCGGACACATATTCACCAGAGTCACCTTCGATGAATCCAGTATTCACATACCCTTCCCAAACAGATCGTTCCCTCACGTTTCCAGAATCAAACGATCCTGATTTTACATATCTCACATCGAAATGTCCACCATCCACAGATACGCTGTGAACAAACGAGTCTTTCCTGCTACTTACAATCGAAGCCTTTCTTGTTACGCTGTCAACAACTGCTATTTTAGACATAATTCCTCAGTTTTTTTTTGTTTTGTTTTTCGACGTTTGATGTTAATCTTAATGTTCCTTACTGCCTTATATAAATACAAGCTCTCATTCTAATGTCAACTAAAGATATATTCAGCCGTGGCGTTAGGTGTTACCTTCACAGCAAAACACATTCTCTTAATTACAAACACAAAATCGTAGTTTGAAATGTTGCTTAACCTTAATTTCTAAGAATAATTTATACTTAAATTTTAACGTATTATTTTTATCAACGATATATATAGAAAACGTGATGTGATTTTTAACATAACCGGATATTTTTTTTTTATTTAATATCAGTTTTTGTCCAATTGTCATTGCTAATATAAAATAACTGCAACTTGACACTTGTGTTTCTTTTGAATCTGATTTGGGCATTGTGAGTCAAACTTTGCTCCGTCCTGGGTAAGACGATAAACTACAACCGTCAGCAAGTTCAGGATGTTTTGAGGAGCGTCGAACCACCTCTTAATTCCTGGTGTTCAAGGTCCACCCTGACCCGGGGTGGTAGCACCTGTTAGGGTTCCAGGTATAGGTAAATAGTTAACCCCCAAGCTGGAGACAAAATACTATGCAAGTTTAAAAATAGGTTTTAATACCAGAAACATTTTGTAGAAAATTCTTACCAGCAATGCATTTTTTATTTATTTTTTTTTTTAAGTAATATCATCTATACATATTCGAAAAAAAATTACCAGCTATACATTCTTGGAAAAAATATTACCAGCTATATACATTTTATTTTTTGAAAAAAACTATTACCAGTAATAGATGATTGAATGAAAGAATATTGCCAGAAATATATTTTTGAAGAAAAAAATATTGCCAGAAATTTCTAGTAATACATTTTTGGGGGAAAAATATTACCAGCAGTAAAAATGTTGTCGGTATTAAATTACCCCATTATGGTTGATATTCCGTAAACCAAATAAAAACAAATTTTGATTAAGGCTGACGTTTTGTCCTTAAAAATGGGGTTAAAATGCTTCACTTTCGCCATTTTATGCTCAATTAATTCCACAAACGAGTCAGCGACAGAAAAACATCCAGAAGGTTTGTTTGGCTCGTGTTCCAGCTCTTGGGATGATCAGAAAGTGGTTTGGCAGATTTCGTCAGGGTGATTTTGAACTAAACGATCCACCACTCTCCGGGCGACCCTCCGATGCCCTGCTCGAAGACGTGGAGAATAAACAAAAGATTTCGATGAAAGAAATTGCTAAGTGATTGAAAATCGAAATCTCAGCGAACATTCATAGTTTGAAAAGACTTGGGTGCAAGGAAAGCGACAAATTTTGGCAAATCAAACAAGTGTCATATTTCCACCTCTACAAGGCATGACCACATTTTTGCAAAACTGTCCTTGCAGATGTTTAAAAAGCTGAAATTAGTAACCCTCCAGCACCCACCGGTTTCTCATGACTTGGTTCCTTTGGATTTTCATTTGTTTCGGCCTCTCCAGAACAATTTAAGTTATAATAAATCTGACACTATACAATCAATCAGAAAACAGAGTTCCTACGAAAATGTCATCAACAAACTTGTAGAGAATGTCTGACAGATGTTAAAATCAATGGAGACTATTTACTTGATTAATAAATTTTTTTTTTTCCTATATTTCCAAGATGAGATATTGTAACTATTTACATCATTTACATTGTTCAGAGTGTTGTCCTCATCTTTATTGTTATATTCACAACGTTTCGGCCGTTGTATTACTCGACCTCCTTCAGGATCAGTTTATATTTCTGAGATGAGGCATCATGTACACTATTTACATTGCTTCGATTTTCAGGCAATTTCCAAAGTTAACGCTCAATCGTTTCCATCGGCCGATATGATGGAATCTGCAATGGCAATATCCGTAACCGCGTCGTATGGCCAGAAACAAACGTTCTAAGCACTGAAACACGCACCAAGATAGATAGATAGATACTGAAGAAACTAGGATAGATAGATAGATAGATAGATAGATAGATAGATAGATAGATAGGAACAGACTAAGACAGAATGAGATAGATAGAAACACAGACATCATGATGAAAGGCAAGAGGAAAACTTTGCCGACGCATTTCGTCCTCTGAGAAAATTAAGCAAGGCAAATGTAATGATTTTATAATGTAACTGGCATGGTATGTAACTGTAAAAGCAAAATTGCTATCGCTTTCTCAAAATTTTTCGGTATAAGATTTCTCATGAATATTCATCGTGAATGAAGTTCATGGACAAAAGGTTATTAGACATTAAATTTTATCACCTCATTTCCATAAACTTTCAAGAGAGACAGAGATTGTTCATAATTTGGTAGATTTATCAGGGAGATGTACACAGTACGGAAAGCAGCATTTATAGATACAGAGAGAACAGACATAGGAATGAACAGTGCAGGATGACAGTCAGTTTCACGTATCAATGCTTTCTTCAGACTAAGTAACACTTTTCTTTTATAGGGCTCTAAATATTGATTTTTTTTTTTTTTGCTTTTGCAGCATTTCAACCCTTTGTGGGTGACTTAAAGGCGAAATATAATTTGGATTGTAGGAGGTTGCTTACAGTACCCGCATTTCAAAAATATACCCCGTCCTGGGTATGACGATAAACTATATCAGCGACTTGGATATGAAGATGAACTACATCTGCGTCCTGGTATGATGATAAACTACATCCGCGTCCTCGGTATGTCGATAAACAACATCCGCATCCTGGGTATGACGATAAACTACATCTGCGTCCTGGGTATGACGATAAACTATATCCGCGTCCTAGGTATGAAGATGAACTACATCCGCGTCCTGGGTATGACGATAAACTATATCCGCGTCTTGGATATGAAGATAAACTATATCCGCGTCCTGAGTATGAAAATGAACTACATCTGCGTCCTGGGTATGACGATAAAATACATCCGTGTCCTCGGTATGACGATAAACAACATCCGCATCCTGCTTAAGACGATAAACTACATCCGCATCCTCGGTATGACAGCAAACTACATCAGCGTCCTGTGTATGAAGATAAACTGCATCCACCTCCTTGGTATGACGATAAACTACATCCGCGTCCTGGATATGAAGATGAAGAACATCAGGGACGTTTTGTGGAGTGTGGAACCATCTCTTAATTGCTGGTGTTCCCATGTCCATACTGACCCGGGTTGGTACCACCTGTCAGATTCCCAGCTATTAGCAAATAGTTAACCCCCAAACTGGGTTTGTATCTGAATGCCAACAGCAATTGCTATTAGCAAACATGAAATCGATGTCACTTTTTATTATTGAGATTTTTTTCTAAATGAGAAATAAATCTTATTTTCATCATAAATATAATACTCATTAATTTAACATATTTTTTTACATAATTTTAATCAATTCAGTATTAATTAGTTTACATAATATTAATAATTAAAATGGTGGTTTCTGCTAAAATAAGAATAATTAGTTGTAGATTATTGTGTTAATTAACGCCAGTTTAATACAATTACAAAAAGAAATCACCAATGAAAAACGGATATAAATAAATTGAAGTCAAAATTGATGATGGAAAAAATTAAATTGAATAACAGATTAGAAAAGAGTTCATTTTTAGATTAAAGAGAAGATAACAGATACAACAATTTCAAAATCTCATTTTAAATAGACAAAAACTCCCCAAAATGAATATATATATATATATATATATATATATATAATGGACTCTCCAGTCGGTTTCGACGTATTAGAATCTGACAGCTTATTGATTCAGTTATGAAAGTTTGTGCGAAGATAAAAAAAACGAATCAAGGTAAACCGCCAGAAAACCCACACAAGTGATTTGATTAAAGTGGTGAAGGCTTAGGCAGAACCATCCACACTTTTCGGAACTATTGATACACTTAGTCGGTGCAAATAAATGCCACTATATATATATATATATATATATATATATATATATATATATATATATATATATATATATATGAACTTTATTTCAATCCTTCATGAGCTTCCGATCCTTAGCTATGATTAATTAATTTTCGTTTATGATCAATTTCATCACGATTCTTCTGTTAAGCTTAGAGAGTAATTATACATTCTTATTGCTCAACGTAGAGCCCAATACTGCTATAAAAACCTCGGAGAATTCCAGTAAGATATCTGTAATCATTTCTAAGATACAATGGTTCAGTGCTTAATCTAACACTTGGACAATTTTGCTGTTACACGATTTTAGCAATTTTGGTGTTACACCCGGTATAGCGAGTTGTGTATATAGGTTACTAGAGGATTAATGATTACATTCCTGTTTTTCGGTTACGGTTAAATTAAACGGGAAGATATTATATATTTTATTTTCCATGACTGAACATCAGCATTATATATGAATATGTGTTTAGATAAATCGTTGAGGTATAATGAACAGTTGAATAAACAGAGATAGATAAATAGATATGAACAGACTGAGATAGATAGATAGATAGATAGATAGATAGATAGATAGATAGATAGATAGATAGATAGATAAAAAATAGATAGATGTGTATAGACTGAGAAAGATAGATAGATAGATAGATAGATATGAAGAGACTTAGATAGATAGATAGATAGATAGATAGATAGATAGATAGATAGATAGATAGATAAAGAGACTGAGACAGACAAGCAGACATAGATAGATAGATAGATAGATAGATAGATAGATAGATAGATAGGTAGATATGAAGAGACTGAGATACATAGATAGATAGATAGTAAGATAGATATGAAGAGACTTAGATAGATAGATAGATAGATAGATAGATAGATAGATAGATAGATAGATAGATAGATAGATAAGAAAATACAGATATAGATAAATATAAACGTATAATGGCGAGAAGACTTTCTGTTCCTTCCTCTCTTCTTTCTTTTCCTCTTACCTTTTTAATTTAATTTTTATGATTATTTTTCTGTCCGCCAATATCAGTTGCTTTCCGTGTTTTATAAATTCTGTAGCTTCTAATTATTCTCAACTGTAACATTCATCACATTCTTTGATTAAAACGAAATGCTTCATATTTTTAGAATCTCTCACATGGCTAATGCATGTGATCGATATTGTCCCAACAATATCCAAATTCGTAAGTGCATGTGAATTCTTGGACGTTAATCTCTCTACAGTAAAATTGATGAAGTTAAGATATTTAAATTTCACGTCAAAATACTTTAATCGAACCGTCTCAGATATTGAAATTAAATGCATATCCTAATTAGAACAAAATAGAATATATATATATATATATATATATATATATATATATATATATATATAAAAAAGCTAAGCGAAAGATATATTTCATTTCTGCTTTCTTAAGTGTGATACTAATCCAGTCTTGCTGCGGACGACAAAGCCACACTGACAGATGAAATTTGATAATGCAGGATTTTGATGGCATCTCTGCTTCAGAACTTGACGAAGCTAATCACGGTTATATATATATATATATATATATATATATATATATATATATATATATATATATATATATAGGGAAATACATATAGCAAACAAGACCAAAATTTCCAGTGTTTTTCACTTGATTCTTTTAAATGGAAAAAAAAAAAAAAATAGAGGCCAAATTGTAAGGAAATATTTTATTCATTAGAAAGCTGATTATGTTTGAAACGAAAAAATGCGAATATAGAAGAAAATAAATAAATGTACTATTTATTGATATGAAAATGCCAACAACTGACTACAGAAATATATTAAGTTCTGTAAACAGAGAATATGGAATGATTAGATGCACCAGGAAGTCCAAAAATCGGTCTGAAAATACAGTAAATTCAACTCGTAATAGTACAAGTAATATTTATACATAGAGTGACGGGCTTATGAAGTCTGGCAACATTTACAAAAGTTACAGTCTAAAAACCTTCCACAGTAAAATATGAATGCCTTCAAGTTCTTATTTTTGGGTTGTCAAATGCACGTTTCTCTTCGGAATAGCACTCAACAAAAGCTAATTATATAACTTATAAGAGAAATAAACATTAGTTAATGAAATATTTTCCCGTTTTTTTTTCAGCTTCCAGTTTTTGAAAAATCAGAGTAATACTTCTAAATTCCACCAATTATAAAATGCCATCCAAACCGAAAAATCCAAAAAATACGAAGAAGACTTCTTACATTCAAAATTTAGAAAAGACTTTTTTTTATGTTGCCACGAACAAGAATCGTGATCAGCAAGCAAAGGTTGACAAGAATGGTTAACGAACCGTAAATACAGAATGTTTGTTGATAAGAGCCCATGTATTCAACCAATAAACCTGAAAAGAGATTGAGAAAAATCAGATTATTAATATTCGATTTGTAACCAAATCGATTAATAATCAAATCTATGCACGCATAAACACGTAGACAATTATAAACAATTTATTATCTAGCTATAGTGTGGTACCTGGAAAATAAGTTATAAAAATTACTGGTAGTTTTGTATGATCCTCACTGAGTGGTACAGGAATTCTGGATTATTATAGTCAAAGTTAAACTTTCCAAATATTTAGGAGTAATAGAGTCGTCAATTTAATCGGATTAAAAATGTTTCGTAATGTAATCTAAGTCTTGTCACCTCTGAAGATTAACGATAATTAATATTCATTTAAAAGAAGTGTGAAAATTGGCAGTTTTTGTTGATATTAAGAATGTTTGGTGTAAGGTTTATTTTGTTTCAAAGCAAACTGCGATCAACAGTCGTTGATGAAAGCGTGAAAAATCGATTCGCTAAATAAATTTTGGTTTGGTTTGTTTTATGACACATCAAAACCTCAATGGTTTATTTAATGCCGACAATTTTTATTTCTGGTAGTATATTTTCTTCAAAAATCTCTTGCTGGTAATATTTTTTTCAAAAATGCCTGGCAGATATTCTTTTTTCAAAAATGTATAGCTGGTTTGGTTTGCTTTGGTTTGCTTTGTTTTTACGGCATATCAACCTCAATGAGATATTTAATGCCGACAAGATTTTTATTGTTTGTATTAATTTTTCTTCAAAAAATTATTGCTGGAAATAATTTTTAGAAATTATGATATAAAACCTATTTAACACTTTCGTGGTGTTTTGACTTCAGTTTGAGTGTTTAACTATTTACCCATAGCTGGGACCCCTAACAGGTGCTACCACCCCGGGTCAGGGTGGTCCTGGAAACACCATCAATTAAAAGGTGGTTCCAGGCTCCTCAAAACCTGATCAGAGTCTTTGCTGTTGGACGTACTTTAGCGTCTTACCCAGGACGCCGGATGTAGTTTATCGTCTTACCCAGGACGCCAGATGTAGTTTATCGTCTTACCCAGGACGCCAGATGTAGTTTATCGTCTTACCCAGGACGTGGATATAGTTTAACGTCTTACCCAGGACGTGGATGTAGTTTATCGTCTTACCCAGGACGCCGGATGTAGTTTATCGTCTTACCCAGGACAGAAATATTGGAAGTGTTTGTATAAACCATTCAGCTCTATGAGGCACAATATTTCAGTTATCGTCATATCTTGAAGTTATCTGATATATAAACAATTCAAAAGTGTGCTTTCAGTGATAAAAATAGATACAGTTGGGTAAGGGGAAAGTCACAAAACGATGAAGGTTGCAAAAAGTCTTAGAATCTGAATAAATCTAAACTTGATAATTTGATTTTAAGTGTCTTGTCACATGAAGACGTGAAATTTTTTTCTTTTTTTTTTGTGATAAAAGGCATTAGGTATTATAAATAAGCGTACCGAAAATCATGTAAGTAAAATTCCTGGAGACATCAGAATCTCAGGTCTACAAACGATGACTTTGTGCAAAACTGCACATATCATCCGCACAAACAATTCCATCTGAATGAAATATCCCAAATGTGCATCGATAATTTTACTACATTGTGTTATAGTGGAACACACCTATTCTATAGTTAATAGACTCTCCCACCTATAATAAGTAGGAGTAGTAAGAGTAACGAGTAAGTCGCTAAGGGAGTTGGTCAGTTAGTCGATGCCGGACAACCGTTAGTCGCATATTAAAGTATCAGCCACCACAACTAGATTTCTATTATATCAAGTTCCTAACGTTTTGTACGTCGAACCTATTTTAGGACCGACTTAGTACAACTACAAGCCTCCACTGTAAAACTACTCCATAACACATTGTATATTTGACTCAAAGACCCCGAGGAAGACTTGAGTATTGGTAATTAGGCACTTAAAATTACTCTCTGGTAAGATGATAACACACAACAACAACAACATCAACAATAATAATAATAATAAAAAGATCTTCAAAAAGCTATCAAAATACAAGGACCTTGAAATCGAAATCTCACATGGGAACATCAACAACTACTGTTGTAGTTGGAGCCCTTGGATTGGTTGGAAAAGATTCCAGTAGACTAATTGAAGGGATTCCTGGAAGCCCATGCCTTAAAGAAATACAAAAAAATTGTGCTCCCGATTACAGCCCACACGTTACTAAGGGCTTTATCTATGCAAAATATATATATGCGTTTTTTTTTTGTTTTTTTTTTGTTTTTTTAATTGGTCAGTGGAAAATGTCATGATGTCTAACCTTAGGTCTCTGGGAGGGACCCGGAAAGAAATGTGTATATGTGTACACACCAGAAATCAAAGGAAATAAAAGAATGATATACATATATATTATGTGATGAATATCCAGAAACAAGTGGACAACTTGTATCAGGTTGCACAGTGTTAACCCCCACTGAACCTAAGCCTCGACATGACAGTGTGGGCCAATATCTGCACTGGAAGATATGCAACTTTTACGAGAAAGAAACTGTAAGAAACGGACATGAACATCACCTAGACCCGCTTACAGACATAGGATCTATAAAAAAATTTTGAGACTTTATAAAACACACAGACAGAAAATTCAATACTGATCGCCAAAACATCGTGATCAAAGATCACAAAAACAGAATGTGATTTCTTATTGACATGGCAGTCTCTGCAGATTGTAATGTATATTTGAAGACCGTTAAAAATCTATCAAAATACAAAGATCTCCAGTGGAAATCTCAAAAATGCAGCAGGTGAGGACATCAATAATTCTAATTGTAGTTGGGTCCCTCGCATTGATTGGAAAAGGGTTCGTAGACTCAATGATGAGATTCCGGGTCACCCATGCCTTAAAGAAATACAAAAATTTGTACTCACAAGTACAGTTCACACATTACTGGTGAGTAATAATTCGTATATTTGCATTCTTAACTGACATTTGTGACGTGACATAATACATTCAATAATAATAATAATAATAATAATAAGAAGAAGAAGAAGAAGAAGAAGAAGAAAAAGACGACATTTGCACACACCTAATTGATGAAAGAAAAGGTGAACAACTGAAATAGTCCATACTTACTGGCCAAGTAACTAATAAGTGCTGAGAATATACCAAATGTTGTATCGGTTATGGACACACCGATGCTGTATTTCTCTGGCCCCAGGCATTCCAGTATGCCAATGGGGTAAAGTCCGGCTGGGCCCCCCATGTTAAGGCCCAAGAAGATGCAGGTGATAAAAAGAGCAGAGTATGACTCTGCTAGAGTGATGAGTATATTCAACAAGCCAAACATGGAGGCTAATCCAATGTAGAGATAAACAAAACGGATTTGGAACCATCGCTGAATGAGGCCAATCAACATCCTGCAAAAGAAACAGTTTCCATTACATTTAGTAGTTGCACCTGCTTCGGTGGATATCTCTGTTGTTGGTTTTTTTTAACACTATAATTATATTATTCTTTTTATTATAATTGTTATGGGATCTTACCCATAATAATAATAATGGACTATTCCATACTTAATAAATACTGCGCCTCAGGAGTAGGCGAGGAGTCAGTCAGTAGAGTCAGTAGTTCAAGTCGAGTCAAAACTCGAGTCAGAGGCAGTCCGAAACAGAGTCGCGTTCAGACAATTACTACAAGACATTGGAATAGTGATACTGGTCGAGACTACATTGTTGTCTCTACTAAACCGGATTGTTCCTACTAACACTTTCTACTTCTCTGTATATATTCCTGTTTGTGATATATCTGTGTTATTCCATACCTGTGTTCGAGTTCTTCTTTATTGGTTCTACCTTGGACTATCACCCGGGGTACAAGGAACTGGACCATAACAATAATTATATTATTCTTTTTCTCGATGTGCCGTGTGTGTCTGTTCACGATGTGAGGAATCGTGACTACAACCTTGGGCAAATTAATTAAATCAAAACGAATTCCGTTATTTCATTTTTTTTTTATTTATTTATTTATTTATTTATTTATTTTTTTTTTTGTATTTTTCCAATGAAACATGCCCCAGTGCATATGTTAGTACTTCATATGTCCATTCTACGAAGTCGTTCTTTACAGATTGACCAAAGATTATCGACTGGATTTAAATCAGGGAGGTGGGGGTCCTGGCCAGGAAATAGTACCTTGATTTGCTAACTGGTAAGGTTGGCCAGTATGTTCGTGCAGAGTTAAAATTTTCGTATGTTTCATTGGAGTAACTAAATTAAATCAGGGAGGGGGGTCCTGGCCAGGAAATAGTACCTTGATTTGCTAACTGGTAAGGTTGGCCAGTATGTTCGTGCAGAGTTAAAATTTTCGTATGTTTCATTGGAGTAACTAAATTAAATCAGGGAGGGGGTCCTGGCCAGAAATAGTACCTTTGATTTGCTAACTGGTAAGGTTGGCCAGTATGTTCGTGCAGAGTTAAAATTTTTGTATGTTTCATTGGAGTAACTAAATTAAATCAGGGAGGGGGGTCCTGGCCAGGAAATAGTACCTTGATTTGCTAACTGGTAAGGTTGGCCAGTATGTTCGTGCAGAGTTAAAATTTTCGTATGTTTCATTGGAGTAACTAATCGACAGTTGAGACAATAGTGGCTGTGTGTGATGAACATCTGATGCAATCACGGTGGACGCAATATTTTTCAAGGACAAACAAATCTTATCATACACCCCGAAAATAGATTCATATTACTGTACATCACTGTAAATAACCTAATCTGAGCTAAAAAAAAAAAAATAGAAATCGATTACACCGTTATTCCAATGAATATAAAACTGACCGTATGGTGAAAGAAATGAAATTAAAGTGGTCGTTTCAATTAATTTGCACAAGGTTGTACGTACAAGAGTAGGTATGTTCATCCATCGCCCGGTTCATACACCTCCCCGGTCTTTTGAACAGGAGTAGATGTTTATCACTTGTTTCCTGTTTAAGATTGGGTTTCTGATTCATTCTAAAGTCTTCTCATTCCCAGTAGCCCCTTGCGTATTATATCTGCAAGAGGGAGAGAAAATCCAATCAAGCGTAACGTCTCATGGGCAAGTAGACTTAGACCTAGCGGAGACCATCCTTCTTCAGCTTTGACCACGGACGATGTTCCCCAATTTGAAGGTTCGCCATGGTTACAGAAACGCGGCCGCTGAATCCACCGCTGGAACCCTCCTCCTAGGCGGTTAATTTCAGTCCGGGAAACCCTCCGGCCGACGATGCCGTTTCTTTACCACACCGAATACAATGTCAGTCGTTCTGTCTCATGTGCGGGTTTAGCTTACAGCTGGTCGAAACTTGTTCTAGTTACAATGGCTGATGCTAACCTTCATTGTGCTTTGTCGAATAAATGTTTTCCACTGATATGAGGTGGAAAGAGTTGATTGAATCTGTTGCTCTGTCTGTAGCTAGGAAAGTTGATTCTATCTTACATATTTATAAGACTACCCTTTGTCCTTGCTTTGAATATTCTTGCCACATATGGTCTGGGGCTCCTTCTATATTTTTAGAAATTCTTGTTAAAATCCAACGAATAATCTGCAATGTTATTGTCCCTGACCTGATATCAATTCCTTTCCTACCGCCGTAACGTAACTTCCCTACACCTTTCTATAAATACTTTCATGATAATTAATCTAATGAACTTTCCTCTATGGTAAGTAAGAATGTGTTGTTTTGGTGTTAGGAATATCGAGATTTATTTGAGTCAGTATTTGTGGCTAGCTAAGTTTATATAAGACAGAAGAAGACCTTTCTTTTGCCCATACTACATATTGGCCTTGTGCCACATTTTCTGTACATAGCAGAAATAAATATCACTTTCCCCTATGGTATTTTTTGTTTGTTATTCCCCTTTCCTGGCAGAGAAAAATTGTACATATGTGGACTAGTTAGAACTTCATGGAGACTTGAGGTATTATGGTAACTGTAGCAGAAAAAAGTAACAATGTGTTGTTTGGTGTAAGGAATACTGTAGCATGTTTGGGTCAGTAATTTTGGCTATCTAGGTTTACTTATACGACAGAAAAAGACCAGCTTTCTCCATCCCCACTTTTGTCCTTGAGCCACATATTTTAATCTTTACAGAATAAATATTTGTTTCCTCTATAGGGCCTAGACTTTATAAATTTAAGCGCAGTACTAGATTCGCAACAAGATTTAAGTTTTTAGAGTTGAAATGGCTAGATGTAACAATAAATTATATTCTATCGCACTTCTCGCTTGTGGAACTTTTTCTGGCTTCTTGTTTTCCAGTCTTATAAATGAATGATAATTATTATTTTCTCTCTTCTTCCTTTCATATTCGCGGATAAAATTTTTGTGCTGTTATTAAAAGATGATAGGAAAACAACGTGTTAGTTCATATTGTATTTATTTCCGAGTACTTTCGACATAACATAATGCCATTATCAGATTATTGTTAATTATAGAGTAAGTATTTAGTATTCATGTTTGTGAAGGACAAAAATTGTTGTGATCAACGGAACATAATTATTTTTATATGTAGAGTCAGGAACGCTGTGTCATGGCTTGGGTGACGGACACTATTTAAGGGGAGGTACCAAGGTATGCTGTGGAAAAATTCCGGACTTGAGTAGTTACAAGATAAAGGAAAAACTATTAATGACAAGCGCTGACATTTAATGAATATCTATTGTACATTTTTTAAAATGTTTGTGGAGTATTCGTTATAAATTTTATTAAGGTTTGGTTTCAATTTTTTAATATGAATAGCTTCGAGAATGTTTAGTTTGTGTTTATTCATTTCGTAGAAAATTATGGGGGTATTTAGTCTACGTGAAAGCGTTGTTGTCGTGTTTTTCTTTTTTCCTTTTCTCATATCATTTCCGTTAAGATGCCCGATTAAATAGGTCAATGTGTGATATTTACCCCCTCCTTCCTCAATATTAAGCGTTGTAATAAAAAAGATATAAAGCTAAATTTTAAAACTCTCCCTTCCCTCTCTAAACTTGACAATGTCTCTCACACCATTCCTCATCACCCTCTAATTCAACTTACATAAAGTTTATACTGCCTGTCAAATGTGTAAACTTTAAATTCATTTTTTGTTTCACCTTTGAAAGTGAAGTCTGAAAATCCAGAGAAAAATAAAATTCTAAATGATATAAATTATAACAATGGAGCATTAAAGTGCTCTGTTTTTCATTTAAATTAAATTATTCGCTCTGACTTAATATTGAGCTTTCAGGATTTCATATACCTTTGGATTATCCATACGGATTACCAAGATTTTCGTTACTTATATATATATATATATATATATATATATATATAGTTAAGTTATGAAAAACTTGGTAATCCGTATGGGTAGTCCCAAGTCTCAAGGTAAATCCAGATCTAATATTTTAAAGAAAAACAGACCACTTTAATGGTTCCATTATAATAATTTATTTCACCAGAGCCCTTTGAAACGAAAAAATGAAATGAAAATTGATTGGTAGTGCAAGTTTTTCTTTAAAAAAAACTTACACTACCCATCAATTTCATTTCATTTTTTTCGTTTCATCCTTTGGAAGTACTATCTGATGATCCGGCGTCCTTTCAAAGGGCTCTGGTGAAATAAATTATTATAATGGAACCTTAAAGTGGTCTGTTTTTTTCAATATATATATATATATATATATATATATATATATATATATATATATATTGGATAGATGTGAGTTTGACAAACTCACATCAATCCAACCAAATATGTTATTCTATCTCTGATATTGAGCGCTTAATAAGTACAGCGCATATAATATATAAATAATTATACATATATATATTTATTTATATTTATATACACTTTTCACACACACACACACACATATATATATATATATATATATATATATATATATATATATATATATATATATATATAAGCGTGTGTGTGTGTGCGTGCGTGTGCACGCGTGTACGTGTTTGTGTGAGAGAGTGTGGGAAAGACAGAGACTGAAAGAGAAAGAGAAATAGAATCTTATTAGGTTATTTTTTTTTCTTCTCTTACCTTGGTATAGCCGCAATTGTAATGGAGATACTAAAAACTGCAGCAGATTCTCTCAGTTCCAAACCGTTGTTGTGCAAAAAAGAGGGTAAAAAACTAAATACAATTATCATTCCGCTCATAGAAACAACAACATCACACATGTAAACTAGAAATAAAGGATCTTTGAGGACAGAAAGATCAAAAGATTTCTTCGGTTCAGAAAGCCGTGCCGGATCATTGCCCTCCTTCCTGGTTCTAGCTTCGATTTTCAACTGTTTTTCCTTTTTGTTCTTGTGAGAGAGAAGAAGGAACACAGCCAATGGAATCATTTGCAGATTGATTCCTGCTAGCATAAACAGGCATCCTCTCCAGGAGTACTGTTCAATGAATACAGGGATCAGATTGGAGAAAACGAGGTTAGAGAATGGCCATGCTAATGATAACACAGCGATGAAGAACTTTCTTGAATCTCCGAATTCAATGCCCATCAGGATGAATGAGTTTAGATAAGAAAAACACGTTGCAGAACCTGGAAATACAAACAAGAAATTCATATATCAGGGATGACCTGATAGAAACATGCCGTATCCTTAAAGAGGTTACAAACAGACTGTTCCTTTCACTCGAGTACAACCTTTTACTCGAGTGAAAGGAACAGCAACACGGGCATAGATGAAAGAAAGAGAGGTTTATTGTAAAAGAGAATACACTACTGAAAGACAGGAAATCAGTTAGCAGGCTAGGAAGTCCCGAAGCAAGTCCACCAGGTATATTCTGTACTATATATATATATATATATATATATATATATATATATATATATATATATATATATACTGATATAGTCAGCCCACAATAGGCGATAGGGTGAGTGGGGCATTCCATTACAACAAAACATACAATAAAAGTACACAGTCTAATAATTACCTTTGGGAGGGGCTTTCTAAAGTCACATGTGCAAAATTTCAAGCTTAAAGATAAGAACATTTTTTTCTAATTATTTCATAACAACCAAGGCAATAAAGCCACTGAGAATCGAGGGGTTACTGAGTCTGAGAGAATATGAGAAAAAGAAAACATTGTTAAGGAAAGAGAACAATAAAAGAAAAGGAATTAAGAAGACGGCAGAAAACGATTTATATTGCATTTACATTTTTGAAGATCAAATTCACTAGTAAGCATGAAGCCAAAAGAGACTTAGAAGCGAGAAGTACGAAAGAAGAAACTATTAGCATAGAACTTACGGTTCCATCTAGCTATTTCAACCGCAAAATGATGAGATCTTACCGCCAATTTAGAATGTCTTATAGAAAGAAAATGAGAAACTACCGACACCGAAATTCGAGCGTGACACTCTGGACTTATGAATATATATTTCCCACCAGGTGTATAAATAGCGGTGTCAGGCTACTAACTGCACTGATTACTGAGTGATTTTTTGATTGGAACTATCTAGTCGAATTATTGTGCCTTGATGATTTTGGGTTTTGACTTAGAATATACTGGACGTTAAGCTGAGCCGCGCTACTAACAAAATATTCACTGAAATGTTTAATTATATTTGGTTGAATTTTACTTCTTTTTTCTTGTTAAGTATTTATTTTTAGTTGTAATTAAATACTCTTATTTTAACATTGAAGTCTTCAGTTATACTTAATTATTAACGGCCACCGCACGTCAAAAAATAAAACTTCGCTTAAATTCGTAATTCCTTGGTACCATAAAGAAAATTTCATCAGAACAATTACCATGGAAATATTCATAAAAAGAAAGGCACATGGTAGCTAGAATACAACGGTGGGAAAATGACCGAAGCCGATTTGCTAGGTCTATCGCAAATTCTTCTTTGAATCTTATCAAACACCAGCTCAAAATTGATAACAATATTCAATATATGGATGAATGGTAGACTTATAAATGCATAAGAGATTTTGGAGAGAAACACTGATGTATCAAATCAAAGATTGAGAGAAATCATGTATTGGGTAGAAAGAATTATCTTGACCTGACATTTGTAAAATTCTTCGATTAATTATTGTTTCAAAAGATCCAAGAAAAGAATCTCACTTTTCTAAAAGTTGACATTTCTTAAAATTCAGTGCCATGACGAATAAAAGCGAGATTAATGGTAGACATTTGTTGGGTTTAGTCAAGGCTCTAATGAAATGGGATATATGAAACGGTAACTATTGTGGATTCCGAGATGAAATCCGGTCTCAAATGAATGACAAACGCAGGAATGAAATATAGCAAATAAATGTATTGACGTAATAATACAATTGATAATACGGTTATTAGATCCAGAAATACGGTTAGTAGGAATAATAATATATATACAGTCTGTGAAATTCATTATCGAAGTATGACTTCCTTCTGAGTCTACGTGCTCGCAACTGTGACTCCTACAAAGCGATTACCTCACTATATCACTGTATCAGTGTATCTCGCTTACTCTCTGGGTATTCACCGGCAGCAGTACAAGTACACACTGGGCGAGTCCACTTGTATGAAAAAGGGGTGGACCCCATAACAGTAACATAGAGACTTGCTGGAAATAGCTGGAAAAATAACATTAAATATTGTTTTAAAATTAATGATAAACGAGGAAGTCAAGACTAAAATTAAATAAAGCCCATTCAACAACAAGGGAAAGCATTTTCTTCTTCTTTTTCTTCTTTTTTCTTCTTCTTCTATGTGCCGTGTCCCTTCAGGACTTTGGCGGTCGTGGTTTTCCACAATTCACTGTCATTTATAGGTTTAATAATTATTCTCTTTTTGTTCTTTCCTAAACCTTGCTCCGCCATCCATTGACTCAAGCTAAGTATGTTAGGCATGGTTTTCCTCTTTCTATTTTGCCGTCAGTTTATCTTGTGTGTATTGAATTTTCCAAGCCGTCATTTCTCATTATGTTCCCTAGAAATATCAATTAACTCTTCTTGAATAAAGAAGTAAGATCTTCGGAACTTTCACCACGAAAGTATTTCTAGAAATGGTACATTGAAGGTACGTTACGACGTTGGGAAATTGACTGAAGCTGAAATGACATCTCCAAATCAATAATATTGAGGAATATTCCTTTTATTTTATCAAGAATCTCAAAATATATAGCAGAAGTACTAGACCAGGTGTCACAGCAATATTCAGGGCATAAAGGAATGGTAAACTTACAAATGGGTAAGGAAGACTATGGAGAGAAAAACTGATGTATCAATAAAAAAAAATGAGACCAATCAGCTATTGGTTGGAATCTGACATTTGTGAAATTCTTCACATAAGTGAATTCGATTAATTATTGTTTCAAAAGATCCAATAAAACGTTCTCACTTTTCTAAAAGTTAACATTTCTTAAAATTCAATGGTATAACGAAGAAAACCAAGATTAACGGTAGACATTTGTTGGGTTTAGTCAAGGCTACAACAAAATAGGACGCATAGAACAGTAATCTAAATCTCTCTGGCAATGGCTGGAAAAATATCACTTTTAGATTAGTGCCAGACATTTTTGAATGTGGTAGTAATGCGAGCTACCAAATTGTCAGATATGTCGAGCAGTCAATCAGAATTGATCTCGTTAAGGATATCTGGCAAAAATAACATTTTTGGTTACTGTTCTATTACATCATTAATATTTATTGAATCCATTCTTAAAGAATCTAACTTATATTTATCTAAGACAAACGGTATATACGCTAAAACCTCCCCAAATCGCCATGCGAAAAACCACCAAACATAATATATACCACACACACACACACACGGATACAAAACACACATACACAATTAAGATATACATTATCATTGGAATTATACATTTACAAACGAGATTTATTATGCAGTTACAGACATAAAACAATATTTACGTTTTTTCAGTCAGGCTTGGAAACCGTAAATTTCTTGGAAGATTGAAAGGAAGTATTGTCCTCCATAAATTTGGAACAACAGAAATTATTCTAACGTTTGTTTAACAAGTCAAATGCACGTCAATCCTGATTAACCAATCAAAATCAAACAAAACAAAAATAAAACTACCAATTTTTTCTTTCTTTTTCCTCTTGTTGATTGTTGAGAATTTTACAGTTTATCAACCCTTTGTATGTTATTTAAAACCGAAAAATATTTTTTGGATTGTAAAAATAATTATTTTATTGCGAGTGAATGTCGCATTAACAATTATTTTTGAAGACACAAATGATTTTTCCAGATACAACTTTTACTATTTAACCCATAGCTTGATGAAGAGATGGATCCTTACATTTTCCAAGAGTATTTGCGCGTCAGTGCATGTAACGAATTCGGCTGAAAATCGAAATCGACTCTCCAATTTCTTATTCTGAGTCGTTGCACCACCCGCCCATCAATTTATTAACATAAACAATACTAAGTCGAAAATAGCTGCAGATCAAATGAAGTAAATAATATTTAAGGCTTATAGAATTTATAACTCATGTAGTTATCGATGCGCCAATTCAAATTTGTCGGCCACTTTGACATCATTTTTATAATTACTTACATTATTTCCATTATTCGGATCGTTATCCTCATCTTCAATACTATATTCACAACGTTTCGGCCTTCTTCAGGTGATTGGAATTTTTGTTCAATATCTGTCTATATCTCTGAAATCAGGTATTATGATTACTTGCATTATTTATATTATTCGGACTGTTATCCTCACTGCCATATTCACAACGTTTCGACCTTTGTACGCTTTGGTCTTCTGCAGGTGGTTGGAATTTTGAGCCGAACTCTTTATTTTGTCCACCTGGGTAGATTTTTGCAGTTCCATGCCTCTTCTAGACGCCTCAGTTATTTCTCTTTAACTGAACTCTCCAAGTTTGGTTCACCACTGCTGTGGTCTGGTATTGAACTCACAACTCTTTGGGTCTAGTCACTGGCGCTAACTTTTGTGGTGTCCTCCCTTTAAAGAGTCTATGGTGGACATTTCCGCCTACTATAAGATTAGTAGGAGAGAAGGCCTTGGTGGATAGTATTCTGTTTTATTTACTGTTTAATATGTGATATATCTGTAACATTTGTTTTGTTATTTCTTTAACCATTTACTTGGTCACAACATCGTGGAACAGAAGAGTATTACACGACTAGTGAGTGTGTGTCGGATGACCCAGCGTTCAATCTATTCGACTGATCCCCCAAGGCCTTCTCTCCTATTAATTTTATAGTAGGCAGTAGATTCCAACATAGACTCTTTAGAGAGAGGGCACCACAATACTAACCAACGTCTTTATCCACTGAGCAATAATAACTCATTTCAGGGATCTAGACAGATACCATTTTTATAATTGGTTTTTAAACTTTTCTGAAATTTTTC